TTTTTTAAGGTTTATTTATTTTTGAGAGAGACAGAGAGAGAGAGAGAGAGAGAGAGAGACAGAGCTCGATAGGGGAAGGGCTAGAGAGAGAGGGAGACACAGAATCCAAAGCAAGATCCAGGCTCTGAGCTGTTAGCACAGAGCCCGATGCGGGGCCCGAACTCAGAAACCGTGAGATCATGACCTGAGCCGAAGTCAGACGCTCAACCGACTGAGCCACCCAGACTCCCCAACACCTACTGAATTATAATCAGTGGGGGTGAGGGAGCTGGGAAATCGGCATTTTTTTAGAAAGCACTCCAGTGATTTTCTGCACACTAAAATCTTGAGAACCACTGCTAAGGAAATCTCTTTTCACTTCCCCACTCCCACCCCCAAAGTCAAAGCCAATAGCTGGTATGGTGAAAGAACAAATATCACCCATTTATTGTTCTTCCTTGATTGAATCTGCGGGTCTACTTAATAAGGACAGAGCCATCCAGGAGGAGAAGTTGTCAGAAACAGGGCGGGGGGTGGGAGGTGGGGCTGGACTTTTGTGAACTCCCATATTGAGAACTCAAACAGGAGGGCACAGCTCCCATTGGCCTCTGGTACTACTCCCCCAGCCAGACCCTGCTCTGCTCACCCTGAAAGCCCGGCCATGCCCACCAGGGCCACCTGTCCACAACTGGGAGGAAGATGATGCTGGGGGCACAGTGTAGACTTTGATGAATATGTGAAGGCAGTAGGAGTGGGAAGTGCTCCGTGAAAAGTGGGAGCAATGGCCAAGCCCGACTGTGCCGTCTCTGCTGACAAGAGCTTCACCGTGAAAACCAAAAGCCCTTTGAAAACAACTCAGCTTTCTTATAAACTGGGAGAGAACGTGGAAGAAACTGCAGCTGACGGCAGAGACACCCCAGTCGGCAACTTTGCAAATGGCGCGTTGGCGCCAGGAAAGGGGGTGGGAAAGGAAACACTACAACAAGACCAGTGGAAGGGGGAGAATCCGGGGTGGAAGGGCCCACGAGCGATGTCACCTGGGCTCCGATCTGCGAAAAGGCAGACTAAAGATTTCATCACCTCTTTCGACAGGATTCAGCTGCGAAGATAAAGAAGCCGTTCAATTATCTTTATCACGAGCATTCTGCAGGCAACTCTTGCCAAGTGTCTGTGTAATTAGGATCAAGCCCTTGGTTAGTAAACAAATGTATTTTTGCTTCAAAAAAAAAAAATGTTAAGAATTTAAGCAGGAGTCAAGCAACGGTAGCCTTTTGGCTACTGGCCCCACAGGGATGTCGTTATGCGGGTGTATGCTTGTAGGACCTCGTAAAGTTCAAAACTCTGTATACCTTCTTGGACATTTAGTAAAGCAGAGACGTGGGCAGGTAAGGCGGGAGATGATGGGCTTGTCTTTGGTGACAGCAAGGAAATTAGCTAAAGCTTTCCCTTTCCCGATCCCAGTTAGCTCCCCGGAAGGAGCCAGAGGTTGCGTCTAGTCTTTCCTTTTACAGAGGAGGAAGCTGACGCCCAGATGGGTTCAGGGACTACCCAGGTCACTCAGATGGGAACCAGCAGAGTCCTGGAGGTGAGCGGCATCAGAAAATGCTCCAGGCGCAGGGGAGACGCGGCAAAGGCCTTCAAGAGGGAGACGGCACGGGAGGCTTGGGAACCGAGCTGAGAGCAATGAGGATCCACACAGGGAGCGAGAGGGTTGCAGGGGAGGGTAAGACCTGGCGGGTGAGATACCCCACCGGTGCCCAGGAGGCCCCAAGAACACAAACCAGCAGTCAGTCCTAAAACAAGTGCTACCTGCCGGGTCAATAGGTTCTGTCCTGCAGCCTTAGACTCTAATCAAGAAGAAGGAAAAGGCCGGGTGGGGGGGACCCTTGTCAGTGAGTACCCAGTTACAAAGCTGACCTACAGCCAATCGGTGGAGCCGGAACCTGAAGACTCAGCGGCCACAAAGTCCACCTTGTTTCAGATTTCACTCCTTGAAAAAGCAGGGGTCTCGGGGAGCTCCTTGCTCCCTTCCTTCCTCCCTCCCTTCCTTCTTTTATTTATCTTTTATTGAGATAGAATTGACACGAAACATTTAGTTGGAGGTGTGCAATGCATGGATTTGAAACACTTATAAATGGCACGACGATCACCACCGTAGCTTCATCAACGCCTCTATCATGTCACTTAATTATCACTTTGTTGTTGTGATGAGAACATTTAGGATGGAGCCTCTTGGCAACTTGGAAGTATATAATCCAGTGTTGTTGACCATAATCACTACGCCGTGCATGAGCGTCCCAGAACTCACTCATCTTCCCGTTGCGTATCTGTTCCCTTTGACCAACATCTTTCCCATCACCCCACCCCCCTCAGCCCCTGGGGACGACCGCTCTCTTTGTCTGTGTGTTCTGCTTGTTTAGACGGCTCATGTAAGTGATATACAATATTGCCTCTGTCTGACATCTCACTAAGCATAAGGCCCTCAACATCCACCCATGTTACCACAAATGGCAGGGATTCCTTCCTTCTCATGGTTGAATAGTATTCTCTTGTATACATTGTGGGTATAGAGAGACATTTCTTCATCCTTGAATCTGTTGACAGCTGTTTTCTCTCCATCCATGAATCTGATACTCCAGCTGTTTTCACACCTTATCTGTACCGTACTGTGAATAATGTTGCAGTGAACAGGGAGGTGCAGGTATCTTTTCGTATCTTGTTACCATTTCCTTTGGATAAATACCCACAGGTGGAATTGCTGGGTCATAGTGTCTTTCTATTTTAATTTTTTGAGGCAGCTGCATACTGTTTTCCATAGTGGCTGCACCAATTTACATTCCCACCATCAGTGCACATCCTCAGCATCATTTATTATCTTTTGTCTTCTTTTTTTTTTTTTTTTTTTTTACAAAAAAGTGTATTTATTTATTTGGAAAAAGGAGAGTGATGGGACAGGGAGAGAGGGAGAGAGGGAATCCCAAGAAGGCTCCACGCTGTCAGTGCAGAGCCTGACATGGGGCTCTGTCCCATGAACTGCAAGGTCATGACCTGAGCCAAAATCAAGAGTCAGATGCTCCACGGACTGAGCCACCCAGGTGCCCCTATCTTTTGTCCTCTTGATGATAGCGATGCTAACAGGTGTGAGGTGATCTGCCGTGGTGGTTTTGATTTGCATTTTCCTGATACTTAGTGATGTTGAGCATCTTTTCGTAAACCTGTTGGCCATTGGGATGTCTTGCTTGGAAAAATGTCTGTTCAGTTCCTCTGCTCCCCTTTTAATCGGGCTGTTTGGGGGTTGTGTTCTTGAGTTGTGTGAGTTCTTTAGAGTTTTGAGATATTAACCCCTTAACCACCATATGGTTCGCAAATATTTTGCCCCATGCTGTGTGTTGTGTGTTCGTTTTGTTGATGGTTTCTTTGGCTGTGCAGAAGCTTTAGAGTTTGATGAAAAGAGTTTCCTCTTTGCCCGGGCATGCAGCAAACATTGCTGACACCCTCTCTGAGCCAGACACAGAGAAAACAATCTCCCCAGCACCTTCCCTTCCAGTATCTTCTCTGATCCTGGCGTCTACTCCAAGAAGTGTAAAGTATCATTTTCATTTAAAATGATGAGAAAATTGGGGCACCTGGGTGGCTCAGTCGGTTAAGCGATCGACTTCAGCTCAGGTCACGATCTCGCGGTTTGTGAGCTCAAGCCCCAAGTTGGGTTCTGCGCTGACCGCTCAGAGCCTGGGGCCCACTTCGGATTCTGTGTCTCGCTCGCTCGCTCTGCCCCTCCCCCGCTCACGCTCTGTCTCTCTCAAAAATAAGTGAACACTAAAAACAAATTTTAAATGATGAGAAAACTGAGGTCCCACAACTGGCCACTGGCCATGTGTGGACCTGAGCTCAGATTTAAGGGTAAAGACCTTGTTTTTTTGCTGTTTTTCCCACCTCCTGTAGCCTGGCCTTCACTTTCCTTTCTGAGGCAGCTGTTGAGCAAACCCAGCCAGCCTCCTCGGGCTCCATCCCCACCCCGGCCACGGATGCCATCAGAGAAGGGGCAGGGAGGAACAGCAAAAGAGCTCTTTGGCAGGCAACCCTGAGTGTCCCAGGTCGTGGGCCATCCCAGGATGAGCTAAATCTGCCCCTCATGTCCCCGCCCAAGTGGGAGAGGAGCAGGAGACCAAAGGAAGGAACACGTTGACCATGTGCAAATCTCTCACTTGAGAGGCATGGATGTGCACCCCAGGACCGGGGGCTGGGTAGTCCGAGGAAGCTGCTAGAAGCATAGGTAATGGAGGAGGGAGGAGGCCTGGAGGCTGGAGAGAGACCGACCCACAAGGGTCAGGACGCACAACTGGCTGAGCCCCGTGTCAAGAACGTGTGGCATCACCAGATCCGGCGGGGACAGCTCACTGACACAGGCTTCCTGCAAGGGAGCCCAGGCTGGGGGGGGGGGGGGGCCCCCCGGGGGGCTGAGGGGACCGAGATGGGGAGGAGGACGAGGCTGGCCTCTGCGGGGACAGTCTGGCGGTGGGCATGGGAAGCAGCACCCCGGCCTGACGGATGCATTTGGCAGCGGTTTCTAGAACTCTGACTGCCCAGAGCTTCACCACGTGTTCTTTTCTGTTTCTGTGATGACAAAGATAAAGAGGGAGGAAAACAAACCAACAAAACACGCAGAACTCCTCTCTCACCTCCTTTGACCCTGTGGAAAGCAACCCCACGGGGAGGCAGGGGGTTCGGAGAGAAAGCCCCGGAGGAAGTTCAATACAGGCCTCCCAGCTCACCCGGATTCGGATTCGGGAGGACCGCCCCCGAGCGGTAGCTGGAAGCCAGCCGCACCTGTTCCCACTCCCACCCCCGGGCTTGGGAAAATGATCGGGATAAGCTGCTCCCGAGATGGACGCCAGTACAGGCCATCCTCTCGAAGCGACAGCCGTCCCCTTATCACTGCAGCTGTCAGGCAGCCTGGGCGGCAACAGGCTCTGGTTACAGGGTATAAACAGGCCACAGAGTTGGCTGGCCCATGCCCTTGGCTCTTCTGTCTTGAAGTGGGGGTGGAGGGAGGTGGGGGAAGGGAGGGAGGGGCGGAGGAGGGATTTGCAAGGTGGGCCTCTCCCTCCCCGTCCCTCTCCTCCTCCTCTCCTTCTGTGCCCCACTGAATTTTCTCCAGAGACTACAGACCTTCCTTTCCCAGGACCGTCAGGGGTACAGGTCCTTGTGACCTCAGCGTGGGCTGAGGTATACGTGAGCAGCCCATCTTACAAGTCTGTCAGGTCAGAGTTGTGTTGCTTTTGGCCAAAGGCCATCCCATCACCCGTGTGTGTACACATAGTCCCTTTCATATGAGCAGCAGATACTCTCAGGTATTTGTCTTTCTCCCAATCCTAACCCATGGGACGGAAGGTTTGTATCTGTTTTGGCCCCGTGAGTCCCCTGTTGCACCCAAAATGGTGTCCTGTATCTTTGGAGGGTTTAACCAAAAACTACAGGTGAGCAACATGTGTGTGCTAACAGGGCTTCTGGGGTCACTTTGTAAACCCAGCAGAGAGGGCCTCTGCCTCTCTCTCTCTCTCTCTCTCTCTCTCTCTCTCTCTCTCTCTCAGAGAAACCAGAAATCCAAGACTGGTCTTCTCACCAAAGGGCCTCCCCTTATCCTTCAGAACCAAGGAGTGCTAGGCCAGAATCTTCTGTCTGGTGTCGCAGAACTGCAGAGAGCAGATGCTCTTCAGCAAGCCCAGCCAGGTCTATGAACTCTGAACACAGGGTGTGTAATCCCAAGTTGAGTAGAAGAAGCCACTGGAAGGTGAACCAATGTTGATCCAAGCAGAGCGTTTGGCTATCAAAAGGGCAGGAAGATCAACTTGACTCCACCCCAGCACCACTTCCGGGTTCCTAATTGGAAAGTTTGTGGCATTTTCTCTGTAACTCTGATTTGACAATTATCGTAGATCGGTCCTCCATAATATAAGTGGCCAGGTTGCTGCTACCTAATAGCCACGTGACCCTGAGTGTCTCTTCACTTCTTCTGTAGTCCGTTTCCTTCCCATAAAATACAGCGGTCTGATCAGTCTCTATGCACTGATCAATCCATATGAGCTGATTGATCTCTATGTGCTGATCAACCTGTGTGTGTCTAACCAGTCCACGTGGCTGACCGACTGTGCATACGAAAGGATGGCAGTCATCTTCTTTATTTTGATAATGTGGAAAAACAGGTAGCTGCAAGAACAGGAACCTTTAGGAACTGTGGTTAGGTGGAAAACAACCCCCAGAAGGAACAGTCAGCAAGAGAACAAGGAACAGGAGACAGACTTCAGAAGACCAAGCTAGGGGTCAGAAGAAAACCCCATGTTCTTACAGAGAGCCCAGGTGAGGCCAGGCCACAATTCTTTGGGTTGAGTTATGCGGCCACCAAGGTGCTCTGCTTTGTATCATTTATGAGGTCAGTTTGTGTAGATGTGGGGTGTGCGTGGATGTGTGTGTGTGTGTGTGTGTGTATGTGTGTTTTAACTTGGCTGACTTGAAACTTCCCTCTTGGAAGGAGACATTTCCTTCTCTTTAAAAGGTATTTATTTATCACACATGAAATTAAGAAAACCTTGCCTATCACAAATATACATCATGTACGGCAAGAAATACCTGCGGCCTGGCCCAGTGCCACGCCTCCTGGATAATAATTTAGCAGTAAATCTGGCACACAGCAGAGGTAGGCACCAAGGCCACTGCCCTGCCCAGAGGTCAGGCCTCTTGACCACACTGAAGGTCACACCCCACACCCAAACACTAGCCCCTCCTCATTTAGATATTTAACAAACCTGTTTGCTCACACACACACATAGAAGCATGCACACACGCACACACACACACACACACACACACACACACACAGTGGCTTCATAAATGCATGTTGAATAAAGACACTTGGTTATGAATTTAAGAATGATTTGTATATGCGACAATTTCTGCATGCCGACAACATGCAGGGACCTGGGTTAAAATTAGGCCAATTGCACCGATCCATCTGCTAACAGCAGAGAAAACTCGATTCAGGACTGTTTAGCAATTTAATCAAAGAGCTAAACTATTTTTGAAATAGCCCGGAATGATGATCTTTTTTTCTGCACTTGGACAGCCAAGCACATGGGCCTTGGCATAAAAATGTTCTTGAGCTCCAAGCTGGGGTGAGGCATGTGGCTGAAAAGACCTTCAAGCACTTCCAGTCCTTTCCACACTCCTGGAAGGTTTTGAAGGAAAAAGGAGAAGAAAAAAAAAAAAAGAAAGAAAGAAAGAAAAAAAAACACCCTTTGGTCTCGATAAGCACCCTCTGTACTTGCATTTGTCTCCTCAGACGTGGTTGGCCGAAGAGTCGGCTAAAAATATAATGAAGGGGAGGGGGGGCAGCGGTGCCGGGCAGGGAGAATTTTTAAACAAACCCAATTCATTTCTGACTGCCTCCCTCCACAAATTCACCTCCATGTTAAAGTCCGTCACCATCTGCCCCTCTCCTCCCTCCGCCCTTTTTTTTTTGGCACTTGACTTGGGTAAATTATTTTTTAAATAAAAAGGAAACGCACTCTCGTTTCGGTTCTTTCTACGGGGCTCAAGGATCTCTGAGTCCAAGAATGACTCCAGCTTGAAGCAGGTCTGTGTTCGGAGCTCGGCCCCCTCCCAGGGGTGGGGCCAATGGCTGGAAGGTGGGCCCAGGCAGGGGGCAGCAGGACCCACCGGATCCCAGAGGTGGACGGGAATCTGTTTCAGAGGCTTGCAAAGAGCCAGCCAGCTGGAAACGCCCACACCTATCCTGTTTCGCAGCTTCCAGGATCTGGTCATCCATATCATCCCTGGAGTTGGCCAGAAAGGAAGAGAAGAGGAGAGCCCCGCAGGAGCCGTCCGGTAGCCGGGTGGTTAGCCCATTGGGCTCCTTGGAGCCCGCTTTAGCTCTTCCCTTTCAGCCAAACCCAAAGGTTACTGGAGCAGGCTGGGCCTGCTTGGGCTAAGAGAGCTGAGTCATCCCCGGGACAGGATCGCAGTGGCTATAAATTATCCTGTGTTTAAGGATGGCTTTCTAAAACCCTGGCTTTGAGCTTGGAGTCTTTATTTATATCTCTCACAGGAATATTTTTCAAACCCATGACAGTGCACTCTGTATTGCTTTGGGGACACTCCAAGCACCTGGTCTCCTCTATAATGAGCCCTGCAGGCGACAGGCCCCCAGAGTCCCTGGGCCTGGACTCTGGGTCGGCTCACACCCACACGTACATGCCCTTGCCTCCAGGCCAGGCCCCATCTCGTGCTTGGAAGTTCACCCACCTCGCTGGCCCAGCATCGCATGCAGGCACAGACACCTTCAGACACACACACACACACACACACACACACACACACACACGCTCCAAATGCAAAGACTACAGGGAACCCACTGGTGTTCTGTACCTTCCAGAGACGGGTCCTGATCACGATGAAACAGACACCACACGAGAACTTCTCCTCAGGCTACAGGGCTTCTAGGGGACACATGCCCACCAGTCTGGCTCAGGAGTACTCGGCAAATGACTGCCAAGTTCCCTTGGCAACTTGGTCCACGGTCGTCGTCGATGATGCCTGTGCCTTGCAAGGTACACGGAGAAGTATCACAAGGTGCCAGCTTCTAACAGTTCACATCTTAGAGAACAATCCCTCAGGCCCATTCCTCCCACATCGGGGTGAAGAAACCGTGTAGACCGCCCTCCCCCCTTGACTATCTAGAAGTCAGAAGCAAACACGGTTGAGAGGAGGGAAAGAGGGGTAAGTTTGTCTCTCCTGCTAATAAATCTTCGTTCCTTCTAGTCCCTCGGCAGCCCACACCTTCATGCTGTCTGTATCTCCACCTCCCTAGGCTTTTCTTTTGCTTCCCTGCTCTGTAATTAGATAATTGTGTGCTGTTTGGTAAATCACTGGTTGTTATTTATTTATTCCCCTCGGTCTGTTTACCATTATTTGTTCTTTTCAAAGTCTCTTCAAGATGGAAGGAGGGAGTCTCATTCTTCCCTTTGTACCGAAGCACAGAACAGACAAAATACATTGCCTAGGGTCACAGAGGGCAGTGGCTGGGATAGATCTGAGGTCAGCCCTGTCCCCAGACCCTGCCTAGCAACTTCCTTCTGGGACAATGAAGCTAGGACATGTTTCAGGTTCCTCTAATTCACCCAACCCAACATCTGCCCTCTGAGCTCTGTGTCTCTACCTCCAAATGACACAGAATCACCCCCCGTGCTTTTCTGGGAATCAGGACCTTCCAAGGTTTCGAGGCTAGGTCTTATGAGGATGTCCTCCCTTGTCAGCAGAAGGAATGGTGAGGGCCTTACAGGGGGCAACCGTGACCCTAGTACTGATTGAACCATAACGTCAGAATTTGCAAAAATGTCGAAGTCTTGCTTGGGTCGCATAGTAGATCCCCAATTCCTCCTCTCCTCACCCTGTTTCCCCACTCCTCTTAAACACCTGCTGTTCACACTCCTTCCATGCCCTTATCCCTCCAGCTTCTTGGTTACCATGCAAGCAGGGATGTGTACAAGGAGTCACTTCCTCCCCTCCAGAGCATCAGACCATCTTCTGCTACTTCAACATCACTGGGATGTCCACTCTCCTGGCCGTCCAGGCAGATTTCATTGTTATTGTTGTCATCGGCGTCGTTGTTGATTAAACTTCCACAAGGCACTAATTCTTGCCACGTTTACGGTATGTAAATGTTTGCACCTTACCCTTCCAAGCCTGTCCAAAGATTCCAATTTGGTTGTGCTTCTCCTGCAATAACGTGCATGCTGGGAGCTTCCACTTGGCCCTCCTGACCCTCTCTCCAACCTTCTCCACGTGCTTGAGTCCCAGGAGGCCAACCCCGCTGGCCCACATCAAGGGGCTACCGCGCCTTGGAGCTTTCGTCCAGATTTGGCCAGTGGAGGCACCCTCTGGAGGTCAGAGAATGAAGGAAGCAGAGTCTGAGTGTTCACCCCGGCTCTCTCCTTGCTGCCCTGTCCCAGGTTGACCGGGATCCTCTACAGGTGTCATGCGGTCCTTGCCGCAGAGCTACTGTGCAAGGCGTTCCTTTCCTGGGACTGTTGTAACAAATCACTACAAACGGAGAGGTTTAAAACAATAGAAATGTACTCTCTCGCCGTTCTGCAGGTCAGAAACCAGTCTGGAACCAAGGTGTCAGGAGGGCCACGCTTCTTCAGGGGGCTCTCAGGGAGACTCTCTCCTCTGGCGGCTGTCAGCATTCCCTGACTTGTGGCCCCATCGCTCCAATCTCTGCCTCTGTGGCCACATTGCCTCCTCCTTTCCTCTGTCTCCTTTTCTGTCTGCCTTAGACTTCCTCTGCCTTTCCTTTATACATGCTTGTCATTGGATTTAGGACCCATGAGGATAATCCAGGATAACCCCTTCATCTTGAGACCCTTAACGTAATTAGACATGTAAAGACTCTTTCCAAATAAAGTAACATTCATAAGGTTCCAGGGATTGGGACATGGATGAATCTTTGGTGGGAAGGGGAGCACCTTCCAACCCACTACAGCTACCCTCTCTGGGGTCCAGTAATTGCTCTCTCTCTCTCTCTCTCTCTCTCACTCTCTTTCTCTCTCTCTCTCTCTCTCTCTCTCTCTCTCTCTCTCTCTCTCTTTGCCTAGGGGTTGTGATACTGTTACCAGCCCTGGGGCCTTGAGCTGTCCCTGGTTGGGTTCCCTTTGTCCTTCCCAGGCCTTAAAAATAGTCCCTTTATTAAACCCTCTTCTAAATGCCTGGTTCCAGGGGCGCTTGGGTGGCTCAGTCAGTACACGTTCGACCTCAGCTCAGGTCATGATCTCATGGTTCGTGGGTTCGAGCCCCATGTAAGGCTCTGTGCTGACAGCTCGGAACCTAGAGCCTGCTTTAAATTCTGTGTCTCCCTCTCTCTCTACCCCTCCCCTGCTTGTGTTCTCTCTCTGTCTCTCAAAAATAAATGAACACTTAAAAATACATGAATAAATGCCTGGCTCCAGTGTGCCACCTGTTTCATGATGGATGCAGGCATATTGAGATTGTAGACACTGGGGAGGGTCCATGTAATTCACCCTATGTGGCCCCCAAAGCAAAGTAAGGGAAAGTCAAGATGTCTTACAATGTAGTACAAGTGACAAGATTAGGGGCTTCACAGCAGGAGTGACCCAGACTTCAGGAACAGCATCAGAGCCAAAAGACTACATGCCTTGCTTATGGGTCCTTTCTTTTTTTTATTTTTTTTAATTTTTTTTATGGGTCCTTTCTAAGCTCAGCCTGAGGTGTGAAATAAGACGGTGCAATGAGACTGACCATAAGTCCTCTCCAGACCCTTGCTGTGAGGAAAATCCCGATTAGAATATTTTGGTGGCAAATAACAGCACCAAATCCCCTTCCAATCCGGCCTCGAATGCTTAAATGGTGGTTCCCAAACTTCAGCCAGCATCAGCATCCCCCAGAGAGCTACTTAAAACCTAAATGCTGGGATTGACTCCAGAGGTTCTGATTCAGTAAGTCTGGGTGAGATTCAACAATTTGCGTTTCTAACAAATTCCCAAGAGGTGCTGATGTTTCTAAGCCAGGGACCATACTTTGAAAACCACTGGCTTAAACAATAAGAAAAAATGTACTCTCTCGTAGCAAAATGCCCTTGGGGAGGGGTGGCTGCAAGGTTAGTTGATTCACTGGCTCAATCAGCTCCTCAAGGACCTGGCTCCACTCTGCTCCATCATCCTTGGCATCTCAGCCTTAACCTTGATGGGGTCCTTACAGCTGCAACCTGGTCCAACAGCTCCAGGGATCCCCTGCAGACCAGTTAGTGGCCTGTAGAAGAGATCATCCTTCCTCAGAACTGAGAACCTTTCTCGGAAGTGGTCCAGTTGATGCCTCCCGTGGGCAAAATTACACGGCAGCCTTGTGCCTAAACCCGCCACTGATGATGGAGGCAGGAATGACAACGGTTGGGTTACACCGATCAGTCCTCACAAAGTAGACGGCCATTGTGGGCTCTGTTGGCAATGACAAAATTAGTACATCACCTACTGTTTTGTGTCTGTGAGAGTACGTATTGGTTGTCTGTTCAGCAAACATTCTCACCCTCTATCTCATGATGACAAAACCTTAAGCCCTACTTAGAAGGGATGAGGACATGCCCAGGAAGAGGGGCTCATGTTCAGGCAACAGTGGTCCCTAAACCAAGTAGGGAAACAGAATCCTTCCCTGGGATTGAACAAAGAATATGGTAGCGGGGAAAAAAATCACCCTCTTCCTGCAGAGGTTGCTAAGCAGGGATCATTGGTGGTCATGTACTTCCCAGGAGGAGAAAGCCCTGGGAATTGGTCACAATTAACCAAAAGTCAGAGAGAAGCACAAAGCAGAGATGGACAAACGGCAACAAGAAGCGGTCCCAATGCCTACAATTCTTCCTTCATCTCTAGGGGCACCTTGGCATCCTGCCCAATTCTGGAATAAATGTCTCATTTGTCTATGCTAATTAAAGATTTTTTTTATGTTTATTATTTTGGGGAGAAGGAGAGACAGAGAGCAAGCAGGGGAGGGGCAGAGAGAGAGGGAGGCACGGAATCCGAAATAAGCTTCAGGCTCTGAGCTGTCAGCACAGAACCCGACATGGGGCTCGAACTCACAGACCGCGAGATTGTGACCTGAGCCCAAGTCGGCCGCCTAACCGACTGAGCCACCCAGGTGTCCTGTATGCTAATTAAAATTACTTTTCTGCTTTTTGCAACCATAAGATTTCAGATTTAGGTCTATGGCCACACCACCCTGAACGTGCCCAATCTCGTCTGATCTCGGAAGCTAAGCAGGGTCGGGCCTGGTTAGTACCTGGATGGGAGATTTCAGATTTAGACACTACATGCGATGTAAAAGGAAATGACAGCCTTATAAGAACGGAGGTCGCCAGAGCTGCCTCGGCTTCCCGTCTCACATCCTACTCTTGGCCATGTCTTCCAGACTGGGAACAAACTGAACAGAAGCCCCACCAAAGACCCCAGCCCACCCCAAGATCAGTACCCAAGAAGAGCACAAGGCCACTGGAAACGCCGAAGGCAGAGAAATGACAGAGCAGGATGGGAGGGCACCACCCCTTTCTTTGCAGAGGAACAGTCCTGGTCTCAAAAAAGGCTTCACCCTCATCTGCCCTCCCCCCTTCTCCAGCTGGCTCGAAGATGGCTCAGATCACTCGCCTACAGAAGGAGGGGAGACCCAAGGATTTCTCCAAGGGTAGATTTCACCCTAGGAGTACAACCCCAGACTGACTTTCCTTTGGAGATTTTTTTTTTTCTTTATCTCAAGGGACAGGAGTTTCCCAAGCATGCGCCAAAACAGAAAGTTGTTTATTTGTGTCTTTGTTTTTACCGATCATACTGGTAGAGCCTGCCAGAAAATTCTAAGGCAGTAGAGGTCTGCTCAAAAGTTTCCATCTCCAAAGACATTAGCCACAATAGTTGCCATTGCTTCTGCTTCTTAGGCCCCCCCACCCCTGTACTGAGCCACCTACTCCACCCTGGGCACTGAGCTAAGCAATTTATCGAGTACCCATGCCAGGACATGGGACAGTGCGCATGACCACGATCCCAGCCCCAAATGAGAGAAATGGACTTCTTTCTTTTCCAGTGGCTATCTAATGAAAGCAGTGTTGGCTTATCTTTTTGCTTGCTGACGTCCAGTGATCTGTACCTGTTAGAAGTCACCATGGGAGAAAGAGAGAGAAATAAGGAGGGACGTTAAGAAGAGGACAGAGAGAGGAGAGCAAAGTCGCAATTTGACTAAAACATGAGTAAAAGAACCTCCCTTCTTCTAATCACTGGCTGGCTAGGGCTTTTCTTGTCTCCAGTCGCAGGAGGCAGAGATGATACTCCCACAGGGTCACTGACAGGATCCCTGCGAACAGATCAGGGGGCAACTGGTGGCAACCCCAGGCCGGATTTCGGCTAGAAGAATAGAATAGAAAAGGAAGAGAGGAATGGGCGTGGGGTTTTGCTACTGTTGAAATACTATTCATCCTTCAAGTCTCCCTTCCCTGTGAAGTTTTCTCTAAGCTCCCTCCCAGCTCACCCTCGGCTGTCAGAATCCACTCTTCCCCCCTCCACCCTGCAGGAGCAGGGAAGCTCTGTGATAAGAGCAGTAATC